TCTAGAATTTTTAGGCACTTCTAATTTTCAAAACATCAATTATTCCACAAGAACCTAACAAAGAAATTTAATTATAACCATCAAGTTTTTCTTGAACTTTTAGTCTCGGATAAGGTGAGATATCTTAGGATTATGTTTGATATTAGATTTATATGATGTTTGATTTACGGTATACATTTATCTCGAGATAAATTTATGCTGCCAACTAAGCATAGAGTAAATCTAATCTCAAATGTAATCCTAACTATCCCACCTTATCTCATTCAGTTTGAGATTATTTTATCCCACCTTTCAGATGAGATAAATTACTTTACGAACTATAATCTGAAATAATTTTATCGATGTATCAAAAGGTCCCTTAAGTTATAATATAGACTAGTATGACTCTTAGGTTGTTTCATTTGAACTTTGTGGGTGGTTGAAGTGTGATTTCTAACCTAGTGAACTTGACTCTTTAATATATATATATATATATATATATATATATATATATATAGGTTTTGCTATTTCAGGCTAACTCTCAATTTAAAATCCATTGAAATTATTTTTCGGCATCTTTTCATTAAAAAAATTCCAAGAAGCTAGATCTGTCGAACTATTTATGGTTGGTGTCACATGAACGAATAAATCAACACCATTTATTTAATCAAATTTACGTGTGTTATCTCATAATTTCATTTTAAAAAGAGAGAATTTTTTTAACTCAAAGTTAACAATAGGGGCAATTTGTTCCACTATATGAAAGAATGGGCATTTTTAATTCTAAACTTGACATTAAACGCAATTATGATTCTATAGGTGATATGATTTTTTTAAATTTAAATCATTGTCATACCCTTTTCCGTTTTATATACATTCAATTACAATTTTCATAAAAGAAGGGAAAATATACTTACGATGATCAATGTACATGTAACATGTGAATTTCAATATATATAGATTCTTTAAAAAGATTCAAAATAAAAACTACATATTTGAAAATCACATGAAACAAATTATAATCAATATATTACATGAGAAAATACATAATTATCCCATCGAATTTATACCCCTTTTTGAAGTAGACACCTTAAGTTCGTGAAAGTTCTATTACCCCACGAAATTATTTTCAACCACACTAAATACATCATTTTAACATCATCTACAATCTCATTGCCAACGAGTGTGTCTCACCTCCAAATAAAATAATGTAATTGTATTTTTTCCTGGCTCTTTAATAAAGGGTTGGGTAAAACCCAGACTTGTTCAAAATTTTGACAAATTCCCTTTTTTATCTTAAATATTTTGTACATAAATCATGACGACTAGAGAATTTTAAAAACTCCATTGTAGATGTTTGTATGACTTTTACGGTGGCAGATAGAAGAAGCTCCATCATTGGAGAATTTCATAGCAGTGACAACTCAAATGGCATCTTCTTTGTTTATGAGTACACAAGAATGCTATCAAGTTAAGTAAACAATACGGGCTTAATATGATCAAAACCCTCTTCGAAGAAGCAGGGAACAAACAGATGCATCTCATGTCCTTCATTGATCTATCCGTTATGAAACCCTAAATGGTACGAACGTGCATTAGTCTTTGCAGTCCAAGGTGTATTCTTCAACTCATTCATATTTGGCGTCCCCAAATTAGCTTATTAGATTGTTGGGTACTTAGAGAAAGAAATAGTGAATTTGTAAACAGAGTATTTTGGTTGATACAGAAAAGGAACTTTTTGAGAACTTGCCAACTCCAGAAGTTCATATGGCATCTCGCATTTATAGATCAAACTATTGAATTGAGAGAAGAGAATTTTTTTTTGGTTGAACATGGAGGGCTCTTCAATGGCCATCAATGGAGGTTTGTAGAAGATGGAAAATGGTCTATTTAATAAAGAAAATAAATTTTTTAATTGGTAAACCACATGGCACTAAAACATTGGCTTGGGGATTAATTTCTACTCTTTCACGTGCCTCTCGAATTTGAGATTGCACATGCTCTGAAAATGGGTTAAAAGGGTGTATTTATCATGGTTAAAAATAGTTTCGTAGGGTAATTGGACCCCACAAACTTAAGGTGTCTACTTTAAAAAAGGGTATAAGTTCGATGGGGTAATTATGTATTTTCTCTATTACAATTCAATATATTTATTTTAAAAAAAAGATATACATAATCCTAGTAAAATAAAATATTGGACTCCTAAAATATAATAAGACTTACACATTCACCTAGAATGGTAGATAAAGTAGGTTTTTTCTATCTCAATTTATTTGACTCATTTTTTTTAACGAGTCTAAAAAAATGATGTATTTCTATATTTAATAACAATTTAATTTTAAAATCCTCATTTTGCCCTTAATGACATTATTTGTAGTCACATACATCTCAAACTTATTTTATACCACAAGTTTCAAAAATTTGTCTTTCATAAATTTTATGTCAAGTCAAACTTGATTGGTTGAAGAGTTTTCTCCTAACCACTACGTCAAGAGTTCAAAGTTGGTAAATACATGTCAAACTACATATAAATTGAGACGAAGAGATTAATAGTTTTGCAACTACGAGACGATAGAAAAAAGACAACAAATTTGTGGATTTGCTATGAAAACAACTTTCCTCCAACTTCATGCGACTGTGGTAATCACTTGGAACCAAATTTTAAAGCAAAAATGTGCATTTGATCATATTTACACATTACAAGACCTTAGTGAAAAAGGCCAAGAGAGAATGATGGCTTATTTGGGATGGGAAAACTTTTGCTGTGATTGAAGCAAAGTTGCATAAAGTAGCTGATTCCAAGAATCTGGTACACCAGGAAGGCACCAATGGCTGCAGTCTTGAAACATCCCTGGCCTCCTCTTTGATTTTGCCTCTCTGAAAATTGAAGGGTGTCCTTCTTTTCTATAGTCTGTCATCTTTGTAATGTTGAGATAAACAACTGGTGTTTTCATTTCTGATATTACTGATTCAAGAACTCTCATCATCCATGGATATGGACCTAATTGAGTCTCGTTTATTATCGGTTTCGTCTCCCCATCACAGTTTCCTCCTGAGTTCCATTGACCACCTCTGCCAAAAAGGGAGCTATCCCTCATTAGACTATCAAACAACAACATAACATCCCACAAAATGGGGTCTGGAGAGAACTACCTCGTGAAGGTAGAAGAGAGACTGTTTCTGAAAGACCCTCAAGTATATCAAATCCAAGCAAAATAATAAGAAAATAATGAAGAAAGCATAGCGGTTAAAAAGAGTCATTAGACTATCGAAAAAAGAGAAGTTTTACTTGAAATGAGAAGCTGAGTATCCCCTAAAAAACACCCTAGTTCTGGTGCTGTTGATAGTTGTATCAACCCAATTTGCCCATGTCTTCAATGCCTTAGTATATGCATCTGCCACTTCCAATCTGTTATACACATGATTCCCTTCTTGAAAGTAATTATTCCTAAACAGAGAAATTCATAAAAATCATTTCTTGGAAGAAAAAAAAAAAACAAAATCAGCAAACACAAGATTGATATAGTCTTTACACTTTCTGAGTTTTCTGGTGAGTCCACCAATGACCAGTATTGAAGATGATAATGTCAGCATCATGGTACTTAGTAAGAGAGCCATGGATTGTATCGAGTCGTAGAGTTTCACGACGTGCTCCAGCTTTATCCGAAAACCTCCATTCTTGAACTAGGAATGGGGATTTTATGAAGTCAATTGAACATTTGAAATCCTACACATAACAAAACAAATATCATTCAAGAAACTTGAAATCTTTAATTACTAGTAGTATAAATAGTTCACTGAACCTTAAATTTGAAGGAATAAAATCCTTGACTTCTGAACTGACGATGGCCCGAAACTTCATTCACTCTGTTCTTGTCAATGAGTGAGTTTCTCAAAGCACAAACCAGAGATTCCCACATGTTTCTGTTCAATGAATCTCCAACAAAAACCAGTCTTTTCCCCTTTAACATCTTCAGCATTTTCAACCCATCAAACCTGTTAAAAAAGAGATGAATTCAACAAGAAGATGCATTTGTGAGAAAAAACAGGGGATTATAAATCAAGAATTGAACCTTGGGATTTCGCAACCCTGTGGCTTCCATTTAAGCCTGAGATAATCTGTATCACGACGTCCATTCTTGAAACAGTTGAAAGAATTGTCGATAAACGGACAAGAACCCGGTTTGTAAAGCGGATGAAGATCATTGTCCTGTACCCATTCACCATCAAAAATATCACAAGATTTGTCATCTTCTTGAATAGTAACATTGAAAATCCAAGATTTTGTTGGGAAGTTTGTGGGTGCTGAAACTGTACTGCTAGTTGTGTGAGTATCAGATACTGGTACGAAGTCAAATTCATGAATGGAAGAAAATGAGTGGGAGTGAAGACGAGAAGCAAGAATCTTGGTGGTGACGGCGGAGGGAGAGGAGAAGAAAATGATGAAGATGAGGAGAGTTAAGGTGAAGAAGAAGAGAGTGAAGAAAACAGAAACTTGGGTTCTTGATTTTGAGAGGAAGATTGTAACATTTCTTGAGAAGATGCAGAGTTCCTTCAAAGAAGCCATTGATGGAATAGAATGCAGAGTTTCGTCAACAGGAAATTGATGAGTTTTTAACTATTATATATATAGAGAGAGAGAGAATGGATGAGCCCCTTTCAGTTTAGTTTATGGGGACTTTCATGTATCAAGGAGAGACAGATTTTGTTGCCAATTCTTTTGAATCAAAGTGGAGTAGGTTGCAACTGTTGTATTTTAATCGCGGTAACTGATCTCTTGTTATATTCCGTTGTTTCTTTCATCAATCACAATTAATATTAATATCTTTGGGAGCCCTTCCCTTTCTTCAGAATATAGTTAATGCAAATTCTAGACATTAAGATTAGTAAAGATAACTCGCAATTAAGGAAAAAACTTACTAGATATCATTCAAGAAAGAAAGTACAGTTGTATCTTTCAAGAGTTTTGGATGCATATCTACAAGACTACAACAATTCATATGGAACAAGAATTTCCAATAAATGAACTTTTGTTTACTAATACTACATGATCAACACACTAGTCAAATTAAACAACAAGCGTTGCGTGTAAATCAGAAGCTAGTTTTTCCAGCAATATCTTCACTTGTGAACGTTGCTTCAAAGGAAGAAAATAAGGGCCAAAGTCATCAGAACAAAGCTATGCAGCATGGACGACTTTGAAGCACGAAAAGCAGTGTTATCATAAGCTAGGATGTGCTCAGCAACATTGAAAAGACCTGTCGACATAGTTCAACTTCAATAAAGAGACAACAAGGTTCAAACACGTTGAATAGTATATTGTCAGCGTATATAAATTAAACATTTGTTTCTTTAAAAAAATACTCCCAGCTCGAAACAAATTAATCATATCCAATATGTTTTTCAACAGAACATACTGGACAATTTTGTATAGTAAAGTGGAGAAAGTTTGACCTCTTTCAGGGCCATAGCTACATCCCTCCTTGATAGTCTCTTCGACTGCTCTAACGGTGGCCTTATTATAAAATCTGAAGTACGAGAGTATGCTTCCAAGACAATTAAGCACATGGTGAGTCTCCTCTAAGCAGGGTCCTCTGCAGTATTGATCGGTATATTCAGGTGGTACATGGAGCTCCCCTGTCTCAGTCAATCTATAAGACTCCTCACAACTACTGTATATCTGCAGCTTCAATATTTGAACTAAGTTACTCATCCATTATTGCATTTCAAATTGTATTCAAGTTATCCAAAATCATGTCGGCGAAATAGACCAAAGATAAAGTGAGAACATCCATCATTTGCATGGGACTTACATGCTTATCAGTGAAACATTGCAATGCTTTAGAGAAAAGATAGTCACGGTGAGCATCAATTGTGCCACCACCATATTGATGTGAATCTCCGTAGTTAGGCAAATATTCATTTCCAAGTACTCCTGCAGCGGCGGTTTGACCCTCATAATCATCTGCTTTACCTATCAAACAACAATTTACATTAATGTCATATATATGAAAATAAGTCAGCAATATAACGGAGCAAGAAGAAAAGGGGTTGATTTCTCATATGGTCGATCACTCAACTAATTAATAGTTATTATTGTCTTAGAAAGTCATCTTTATTCTCAATTCCAATTTTCTTCAACAAAGAAAGTTAGTTTTTGAGATAATAGCACTATAATCTCAAAAGTAGAAATTAACTCGAAGAAAAGTAGAAAGCATATATATGTCACCTAGTGTGAAAGGGAAAAACAAGAAACAGGTCAGGGTTAAAGCTTGAAGAGAATACTTCATGTTGCGTAATGTTCTACCTGCAGGATGATTGCAGATATATATATTAGAAGTTTACAATTATGGCATGGAATGTTAATGAAGCTTATAGTTGAAGAATCTACAATAGTCAAGTAAAACAAAGATAAATTCCATGGGGAAAAGTAAAAGCAATGGGTGATCTGCTCGATGGAAAGTTAAAATATTGGATGGTCTAAAAAGGTGAGTGACTAATTAAGTTGAACTAACTAGACTTTACTTGCTTGACGTATTTTGCATTGAAAATCAAACCTAAAAAGATCCATCCTTGCCCCACAAGTTACCCTTTATAGTACTTAGTACTGCAACTGAAGCCAGGATGTTGATGTAACACTGATAGAAAACGAATTTCAAAATCAGGCTTACTAAGGGCAAAACGCTTCCTACCAAATGTTTCTTTTATTCCTATATCTGAATCCGAGATGTTTAGTTAATAAAGAAGGAATCCCAACCATCACACACTCTCTTCAAAGGGAGGGTTACATGGAAGGATAGAATAACTTATAATTTTAGGTGAGAAGAAGCAACACAACACCTAACCTCAGAGAAATAAAATAGATATGGTAGCTTTGGTGGGTAAGAATAAGTGATAGTATGAAGACCTAATTTTGTTACTTAGATAAGCATATCAACAATTCATCTTGAAGTGTTCACATTAGTGAAATATTATATGTGACAGAACAAACTGAATTTGCTAATACATATAACAAATTTCCAAGAGGAAACATGCTATGGTTTCTCATAGAAATACATTGATACAGGGAATTGTGTCTTGATGATTTCTTAGCCAGGAGGACTTCTGGAAATATAGGAAAAACCTAACGAAATATGGCAAAGACCAACCTCAGCTTCCAAAGAAAATGTTAAAAGGGACAGCATCACTTCTTCGTAATCCTTCCTTTTACTAATCTGCTCGGCTAAGTACTCGGTATTGATTGAACTTGTCATTACACATTTCTCCTTTTAACCCCAAACGAATAACCATCCTAACCTCAAAAGGCCAACTTAGAACAGAACATCGATACTTTGTTTTAATCATACATGCTGAGATAAAAGTTCTCAGCTAACAGAGACGATCAAATATCTCCATATCCTACATTACGAGGGGCTTAAGGCACATGTCAGGAGCCTATACTGCTTGTTGACTTATGTTTGGCCTTCTTTACATGGCTGACGGAATTAGTAGAGAGAAAACTTCATCAAAGCTGCATGAACACAAACTGAAATCAGTCATGACTACTGTCAACTCCACCTAGACAAGAATAAAGATGAAAAGGAAGAAAAAACTCTTCATCGTTTAAGAAGTCAGAGAAAAACCTTTTTATAAACCAACACCCAGGTTTAATGCATGAGAGACCTAAACAAGGAGCTCCATCTTCATATTCACGGTGAATTATCTATAACAGGTAGAAAAATCTGTTTGGACTTTGTCATTGATAAGACAACGCCAGTAACTTCCTTCTTTTTCCTTTAGTCAGGTCCTTGAAATGAAATTTCTTAAGATCAAGAGAGGTGTTTAATACAAAGCACCAACATATTTTTTCCCCATCTCACGGAAAAACAAGTAATATAACAATTCTTTTAGATCAGAAGATAGCTGGCCATGATGCTTGCTTTCTCAGCCCATTCCCATCCTGTGAAAAACATAAGTAAAAGCGAAAATAACTAAAAGTTAAAAGTCTTCATCCTCATTTTAGGGGAAAATTGAGTTGAAATGTAAAATATTACCACAATCTCAATCCACATAGATGTAGAACAGCAACATTTCACAGAGGAGATATATAATTTGGAACTTTGTGCCATCCAATACAAGCAAATTAAAAAGTAAACCAGCTAAAACAAATATCATTCGATCCAAGCAGATATAAAATATCAAGATTTCTACAGAAGAGATAAAGATAAACTTGCTGTTTCTCCAGGGCAGGTCAATCTAAGACTGCTTCTCCTTGGAAAAGCACAGTCGATCCTCATACAAAAAAAATACTACTACTACACCAGAGGCGCAGACACATAAATGCACAAGTGAAAATTCTAACCCCCAAACACTTCTCTGACAGGAGGCCTAAAAACAAGAAAAATATAATACGAACACACTTATACTAGGAGTACCTAAAGTAATGCCTAGTGACGGAGTATTCTATTAACTTTCAACTGCTAAAAGATTGGAATTCCTTTGAACCTCAAGACTTGAGAGGTAGAGCAGAAATCTACTAAAAGTAAAGGGTGTGCATCATAGCCATGAGATTTGGAGTGCCTGTCAGCCTGTGTAACATCTCTTGTATAGTGTACCTAACATTTAGGATAGCAGGCAACACCACCTCAGTCTTATCGTATAAAGTTGTTCAACAAGAGTTATCCAAGTGTTAACTACGGCAGGGAATCACACTTCAGATATCTGCATCACGTATCTATCAATTCTGCAAGATCATTACACTACAAAATCTCCAAGTATTCGAATGTTTGATATGGACAACGTTGTCCTATTGGAACAGCCAACATCCTATTCTTCAAACTTGTACCTCCTTTTATATTCAAAATTATATTATTGATACAACACAAAGAAAATGCGTATATACAAACATTATAAATTTCTATTGTTTTTGATAACGGTAGTGTTAGAATCAGTCGCATCTCAACTAATTGACTTGTTACCTGCTACTTTCCATCATTATAAGTAATTAGGTAACTCTGGCCACCAAAACTTGGACTAATAGGAAGAAATCACTTGATGTTTTCTGTATCAGCTGGAATTTGAGTCATGATCTCCCATAGTCTGTTCCAGCTTCATTAATCGCTAGGTAACACCCTTGGTTGCTATACAAACATTATATACCATGTAGACCATAATTAAAACTCAAATTGAAGCCAACTATCTATGCAAACTGGAGTATCCTTGTTGTACCAAAAATACAAATTAGATGCAAAAGGAACTTAAATGGTAATCTATGGGTTTTTAATCCTTCAAACAATTCTACTAAACCTTTCTTTCCAAATAGTATAGAAAAGCAGGGTGTTTTTTTTCCAGCCTCCATCTTGTCCTCCAATAAGTCATTGCCTCTGCCGCCATTCTAGGGGTAACCAACGAAATATTAAACAAAATGAATTGCAAACAACACTCTAATTCAAAGCTAGAAGGACTCTAATAGTAGGTAAAATTGACAGAAACTCCTGCTTTTTCCAGAAAGATCATAAACACGGACTAGCAGCAAGATGTCAACTGAATGATTAAAGCATCAGTTGTTTGAACATAGGCTCAATCAGAATATGAAAGGTCCTAGCTATGCTATCGTCCAATACAAAATCCAGACAGCTGAAGTATACCCCGGTGCTCTTCTTACTTCATCCAATTAAGCTCAGGTAGGAACACGTGTATCAAGGGAATCCGATTCTACAACTTCTTACTAGTAGAACAGCCACATTAAAAAAAATCATGCGGTTTTTTTTAACATTTCGATTCATCCTCACATTTTGAGAAGGAAGACAGAACAATGTCATTGAAGACTTTCCAGAATATTGAGAGAAAATAAGTATATACATCATTTTTGTTTTATATATATTTTTTGGCCCGTAAGGAAAAAATTATTGTATCTACAATTGATTGGATTGCTTATTCGCCAACGGTGTTGTTCGGTCACCCATTCACTTATACATTTTTCTCAAAAATGTTGGAATGTTGGTGACACCCAATTTCAGCCCTCCACAATGTAGATTAATCATCGAGCTTCTTTAACTTATAAAAATATTGGAAATAATTAGTTTTATAAAATTCGAAATATTTTTCCAGTTATTTTGTCCTATTTAAATTATATATATATTAAAAATGTTTTATTAATTTTTTTATGACAAGGGAAACCCACAACTGCTACCCTTTGGATATGCGCAATGTAAAATGTTTTGTTAATTTTATTAACATGTTTTTTAAAAATGTTTTGTTAATCAATCAATAGATCATTTTTCGAGTTAATTAATATTATGAAGATTGTTAATTACAACAACAACAACATACCCAGTGAAATCCCACTAGGTGGGTCTGGGGAGGGTAGAGTGTACGCAGACCTTGCCACTACCTCGTGGAGGTAGAGAGGCTGTTTCCGGGAGACCCTCAGCTCAAGAACATCAAATCTAAGTGACAGGAGATATATATATAAAACATAACAGCCAATACAAAAGATAGCGTATAATCAACAAATGAGACAATAACATCAAGAAAGTAATGTGAGGAGTGAAACGCAGTAAACAGCATAAGGCTAGGACTACTCCAAACGCTAACAAGCCATTCCCTCGCAAGGGAAGACAACACGCTAACCCTACTAACCTTCAACCTTAATACGCGACCTCCACTCCTTCCTATCTAGATTCATGTCCTCGGTAATGTGAAGCATAGCCAAGTCTTGTCTAATCACCTCTTCCCAGTACTTCTTGGGCCTACCTCTACCCCTCCGCGTACCCTCTACCACCATTACCTCGCACCTCCTCACTGGGGCGTCTGCACTCCGTCTCTTCACATGTCCAAACCATCTCAGTCTCGCTTCCCTCAGCTTGTCCACCACAGAGGCCACTCTCACCTTCTCCCCGATAACCTCATTCCTAATTTTGTCGCTCCTAGTGTGCCCACACATCCATCTCAACATCCTCATCTCCGCAACATGCATTTTATGAACATGTGCGTTCTTGACTGACCAACACTCCGCTCCATACAACAAGGCTGGTCTAACTACTACTCTGTAGAACTTACCTTTAAGTTTCGGTGGAATTTTCTTATCACACAATACTCCAGAGGCAAGCCTCCATTTCATCCAAGCAACCCCAATGCGATGTGTGACATCATCGTCGATGTCACCACTCCCTTGGATTACAGCCCCAAGATACTTAAAACTTTCCTTCTTAGGAATGATTTGTGCGGCAAGTCTCACTTCCACATTTGTCTCATCCAACACATCACTGAATTTGCACCCCAAATATTCTGTTTTGGTCCTACTCAACCTGAACCCTTTGGACTCCAGCGT